AGAGGAATGGGGGGGGGGGGAGGCAGAGAATGTCCCTATGGGAGGTGGATGGGGATTTCCAGGGGTGTCTGGAGGAGTGCAGCAGGACTAGGGGGAAGAGGGGTGTCTCTTGGGTGTGCAGGGGGATTTGGGGAGTGTCTGTTGGTCTGTAAGTGGGGTTTGGGTGGTTGTCTCTGTGTGTGAAGGCAGTGTTGGGGGGGGTGGTGTGGTGGAGGCCATGGAGCTGCAGCCCAGATGGAGTCACAGGGAGCGGTGTAGGGTGTGTGGAGGATGGGAATGGGGGGAGATCTGTGCCCTGCACTCCTGGAGCCTCCTGTGCTCTGCTAAGGGCGGGGAGGGCAGCCCTAGCCCCCTCCCCACTTCTCCCTCCCTGGGCTGTGAGTGTGTGTGTCTGTTTCTCTGTCTGACTGACTTCAGGGGCTGCTCTGCCCCTCCTCCCTCCCCCCTCCCCCTCACATCTGGCCAGCAGCAGCTTATTTTGTCCTCCGTGGTTGCAACACCCCAAGTCACAGGACGTTTCTCACCCACCTGTGTCAGACACCCGGGCAGGGAGAGGGTGGAGGCTTGTCCTGGCCAGGGGATCCTGGACATAGGGCCTGACACCCCCTTTTTTCTGTCCCACCCTTAGGAGCAGAGCAGACAGCCTGGGCACCACAAAAACTGGATCACCTCGGGGTTGGACTAGAGAGAGTAGATCCCTGCCAGTGATGGGGAAGGGCAACTGGATCCCTTGGGGGTGGGGAAGGGGCTGGAAAAAACATGGTCTCCTTGGTGGGGTGTACCTGGGTCTGCCCTTGCTTCCCCCAAAACTGCCAGTGGGGAGCACAACGGTGCCACCCACAGCGATGTCACCCTCTGCCAAAGGACTGAGGTGCTCCAAAACCATGCCCACTGCCAGAGCCAGGCTGGGGCAGAACCACCACCCTACTGGCAGTCTTGGCCCCATCTGTGCCCCTCTCTTCCCATTAGAATAAATACAATTTATTCAGAAGAAACCATTTTATTATTTTTTTTCCCCAAAGAAAAAAAGCAATATAAATATTAGAGTATAAAACTTGCGTGTAACACATTGACATTGGTCTATATGGGTATAAGAAGGATATAAGCATATATATAATATATAAGTATAATTCAATATTAGACACATTGAAAGGGCAAACGTGTTTCATTTCACGTACACTCAGAGCACAGACCACATGGAAATAAGATACAGAGAAAATTGAAAATACTGGTGTTCACAAGTTAGTCACCAAGATTAAAAATAACACGCCACTAAATACACAACACTCACTATGCTACCTCAGATTGCAGATTTAAAAGAAATATAAAGACTACAATTCAGCTACAGCATTTCTAGAGGGGGGCAGGTGGCAGCTGCGGGGGACAGGGTGGGAACTGCTCCCAGTGCAGCCAGCGCCGGAGGTGGCCAGATCCAGATTAAACACGGCGGATGCTCCTGCTGCCCTGGGGTTGGGGAGGGGGTGGTGGCGGGGTGACTGTTCCCATGACAGATCTTGGCTGAGAGGGCTGGATCTGCTCGGGTGAGTTACATGTTAGTGATTAAAAAGGGAAAAAAACAACACACACTCCCTGGGAAACCTGGTGTGGCCCCTTCTTGGCCACCCCGCAGCCCCTCTCCTCACTCTGGCTGCACAAAGCGCCCCTCTGCCTCCCTGGGGGCTTTGTGCTGCTTTGATATGGGAAGCTGGCCTGGTGCAAGGGTGATGGGCATGTGGAGAAACTCTATTCCTCATCCTTTGATTCCCTCTGCGGGGTGGAAAGCCCAAAGCCAATGGGAGCATCACTTCCTCCAGGCTGGCCCAGCATGGTCCCATACAAGGGCCTCTCTGATGCCTGGGCTCTCTGGCTTTGCAGCATCACCCCATGCTCAATTCCAGCTCTCAAGTGCCTTCTCCAGGTCTGGTCCCCAAACACCACCAACCCAAGTGTCACTTACTCAGTCACCAACTCTGCACCAAAGCCATGCACCAGCAGCACCACAAATCTCAACCTTTTGGGCCTTACTTGGGTCTACACCACAAATAAGAAGCAATGAGTTTCCCCATCCTGCTTGACCAATCCCTCCCCCCTGCCAAAAGCAGCCCCAGCGCGGCGGCTCGGGTAGCTGCTGGCGCATTCCCACCATGCTGTGTAGGCATGCGAGGACTTCTCTGGGTCCGTGGAGCTAACTGTGCTAGTGAAGGTGCAAGGTGAAGGATGTGCATGCAGACACGGTGTGCAGAAACGTGAAGCATCATCCCCTGGTCCCCTTGGCAGGGACTTGGCCAGACAGCTGACTGGACGCAGGGGAGTGAGACTCTCTTAGCTTTAATTCCAGAAGAACATTGACTGTACATATAAATATTTACTGCAAAGAAGGAATGAGATGTGTCTGCTCTTGGGAGACCCCTAGAACTGCTGGGGCAGCTGCCGCACGCCTCGGCATGCTCCTTTTATTGAATTCTGTATCTCTCAGACATCAGGAGGTTGGCGCTTTTTTTGTCTCATATTTCAGGCCATCAGTGGTTGCACTTAAAAAAAAATGTTTAGGATGCAGCTTTGCCATATTCCCTTTGACTCATGCAATATAAACACTTAAGTATTTTTCTTCCGGGTAACAGGTAAGCAGGAACTGAAGCACTCCCTACCAACTTCTCAGCAATAAATCCATCACTATCATTAACTGGGGGTGAATTTTACTAATGGAAAGTTTAAGAGCAAAGATTTGGAGCATGGGCTCTAAGCTAGGAACTTCATTTTCCTTTCCAAAAAATGATCAAAGGTCTATAAATTAAAAGTTCCACATTTAAATTATTTACACAGGGCAAAGCCAAGCACAAGCCTTGTGCTTTTCTCAGACTACCTGGGAGAAAATCGGATCCAAAGACTTGGCAGAAGACCTTCTGCCCTTGCATATTCTAATACCCAAGGGATTGTATAAAACATTAGCAAGTATTCACAGGGCACTTGTTTGCATTCAGTTTAGCTTCCGGATTCATTTTCATCACGAGATCTAACAGCAGCGAGACCCTGCTCCTAGCTCTGATGATGATGAGATACATTCGCAGCATTTCCTACTTTTTGTATCACAAATAATTCACATTCATCCTCCAGCCTGGGCTGTGGTTTGGGGGAGTGCTGGAGCCGGCTGCCCTGTAGCTCTAAGGTCTCCTTTTTCTTCTCTACTTCTTTTCCTTCTTCCCGGATTTCTTCTTGTTGCCTCCTGAGGAGCCAGAATTCTTGGCATCGCGCTTGCCAGCGGCGTTGGTGAGGGTGGCTGTGCTGCCCGGGATGTAGACATTCTGCCGGTAATCGGGGACGTGCTGCAGGGTGAACTGGGGGCCATAGCGGGCGCTCAGCCCCATGGTGCCTGTCCCGCCACCCAGGGTTGAGTTGCCATCAGCAGCTTCTGTGGGGGATGCCAGAGGAGGGGGGCAAAAGAGAAGGGCAGGTTGTTAGTGCCAGCCAGAGCCCATCCCAAGGCCCAGCAGCCCTGGAAGGCTCCCATGGGGGGTCAAACCCAGACCTCGGTGCCATCGACATTCACCCCCACCCCTCAGCACTGTTGCTCCACAGGATGGCTGCAATGTGTGTGCTGGGGAGCATGGTGCTGCACCAAAATCCCTTTTTCCTATCTCACATCGCTGCTAAAGGTTTGGAATCTGGGGCTGGAGGCTGGCCGGGGGCAGGGCAACCTCTTCTCTGCCCTCGGCAGGGATGGGGCTGCCTGTCCCCGCCTCTCTGCCTGATGCTGCCTGCTCTGCTCCCCTCCCCAGCTGCTGCCTCCACAGCAAAACACACTCCCCCTCCGAAAGCAGACCATTACAAACATACTGTACAGCCATAACCATTAGTAATGCATTAAGGGAAATCCATTTTTTTTTTCCGCTGCATTTAAAACCCTGCCCCCAGTATTTCTCCAGCCAGACTTATTCAGGGAGCAGAGAACATGAGATGAGAAAGAAAATCCCTCCCCTGCAGTACCACAAAATGGCTCTGGGAAGCCGAGCATGAAGCAAATCAATGCTGAAGCACATCCAATGGTCCAAATCTGGGAGTAGGGGGAGGGGAAAGCAAATTCATTCCTGTCGTGATGCAAAGCTCCAGCATAGAGAGAGCAATCACAGAGAGGGGGGAAGGGCACAGCCCACCCCCCCACTCCACCCCTCCCCCCCCCCGGAATACTGGGGCACTGCTGGAAGACAAAGACCAGATGGAGAGAAGGGGGATGCAAGGAGACAGGGGGAGAAATGAGCATGAAGGGGTGACAGGGCACAAGCAATGCTGTTGCCATGAGCCACTGCATGACCTGTTCCAGCATCACAGCCAATGACTCAAGGTGGGATCCTTGCACAGCACAGCTCAGAAATGGTTTGCTAAAACCCTGCCTCTGCATTGGATACTTGTGGATCCAATCTCAGCCTTTTAACTGCTTTGTGCTTGGGGCTACCGACACACGCTCCTGGGAGGCTGGAGGGACCCAGCAAGGGCACCCGAAGGACCCAAAGCAGAGTCTGGGGCTGTTGCTCCCTCCTTTCACAGTCAGAGAGACTGAGATAATAAAGAAAAACAATGAGCAGAGAATGCAGGCTGGTCCCCTCGTGTTTTGCCTCTCTCCAGACCAGATCTGTACACGCCTCTGTGCTGCCTTAGCTTTCCCCTGAGCAGATGGAGGTGGTTAAGCCAGCCAGAAAGCTAGACAAAAAACTGGGCCACATCTCACCAAACCCCTGAAATACTGCTCATCCCCTCACAGAGGTCAGAAGTATGAAGCAACTGCAGTTCGAAAAGTTACAGCTGCTCTGTGGCAGCAGGCAGAGGAAAACGCACAGCAAGTCCAAAACCAGACAGGATATTGTGCGCTGAGGCCAGGGGACCCACAGGACAGTGTACAAACACAATAATCCAGTGTGGGGAGATGCCACTTTGCTTTCCGCTGCGGAAGCATTCACCAGCAGGACAATTTTTCCATAGTCCCCGTTAAATGTGTCCCAGACCTGGCCAGGCTTTGAAGACCTTGGTCTGGAAGAGGGTTGGGGGAGATGTGCCTGTACAGTCAGTGATATTTATCACTAATCTTTGCTCCCCTCAGCAGCAGCTTGTTTCATTAACAACCAACTCAACCCCAGACCCGCTGGGGTGTTACGAACGGGGATGGGATGGCTGGAGATGTGCTGTCAGGCCAAGCTGCAGCCAGGGACTGGTTTGCAGGTGGGCTATGGCCTCTGGCAGTGTGGGAGATTTTTTTTTCTAGGCTGCCCCAGCTGGAGACAGCCTAGTTTGGGGTTTGGTGGGCTTGGACATCTCCTGTGCCCTTGGTGCTGCTGCCCCACTTGCCCCCTGGTCCATCCCACATGCACCAGGGCTCTGAGCAGCAAGGGAGCTGGGGCCCCCAGTGCCATCCAGAACAACTAGTCCCTTTGAACTAGTTTGCAGTCACAGCACAGTTTTTGCGTGGGAGAAAAAGCAGCCCATGAAGTTCCCAGCCTGTTAGCTGGTCGAGGGTAAGAGCAAAGAGCTGTTTCTAGGTAACATTGACATTAAAGCTGAAAAGAAGAGAGAACAGGGACAATAGAGTTTATAATTGGGCACTGAGCTGCTCTTGCCAAGCAGGGCACTTAAGCTCTTGCTACTGGAAAGGTTACACTCAGCCTTTACCAGCAGCCAGCCATTATCCCGATGGTCTGGAGGAGAAAAACACAAATTTGGACTGCAGTAAAAATAACCAGCTAGTGGCTTCATCACCCTGGTAAAGCAGAGGGGAGGAGAGGCCATCGCAGAGGGAGGGGCTGGGCTGCCTTCGGGAGCAATCCTGGAGCCCGTGCTACTGCAGCTGCTGGTGGGGATTTCAGGAGTCCCCAGTATAGCATGTTTGCCCCTGTCTGGAGGCAGTGGAGCTGGGGAGAAGGACCTCCTCGGGCTGCCTTTCAATCTGCTCTCCTGCTATGTCACAGCACCTCTAGAAATTCTTGCTAGAAGCCAGAGTATTTTAAGGACAGGGTGCCTCCTATGCCTGCCCTTTAGTGTCTGGTGTCCTGGAGCACCTGTGCTCCTCCGTCTGTCTCAGCAGCTGCCTCTGTCTCTTCAGATGGCTCAAAACATTGGCTTTCATGTTCCCAAGCTCTCTGCTCCAAAGGTGAAGAAGTCAGAGGAAAGGAGCCCAGGAAAGGAGGCACAAGCCCGACTGTCAGCAGGGTCACACACTTTGGGGAGAACCAGCTCTCCCAGCACTCTGGTTTAGGACTGTGATTTAACCACTGGGCAAATGACCACCTGGGTGGTCTCTGCTTGACAGAGACTCGAGCATGGGCTTGACATGGTGCAGTACAAGTCAGCATTGACTGCTCTTGGCAGGATCAGCTCACACTTGGAGGAGAGGGTGAGCAAAAGGCACAGTGCCATCACCGTTGTCACTGTGTCCCACCTGTCACCCCAGAGCTCAGCAGGTGACAGTGAGGGATAAGGATCACTTAATTAACCAGGAAACATTACCTAAGAATGGGTAGCAAAAAGCTTAATTGGCAGTTAGCACAGCCCCTAATCAAACTCCTCTCCAATCAACCCTCTTAGGTTAGCTTAACAGGTGAAAGCAGAAAAGGGGGAGACAGAGAGCAGAGGAGACATGAAAACACAGTGCTGGTGGAAAAAGCTTGTGCTCTGACCCCACCTGACTCCATCCATCCATCCATCCATCCATCCATCCATCCATCCATCCTTCCACCCACCCACCCAGCACAGCAAGGGACCAGCATGGGCAAGAAAAGGATGGAGTGCATAGAGCCATCCTCTCCCTGGGGCTGCAGAAGGGAAAGCTCTTAGCTAACAGATGGATCTGATTTAAATTAACCCCCAGAACAGACTGAAGCCAGTGGGAGAGGTTAGGACTGTTTGAGACTTGTGTATTGGGGGAGATTTGCTGCAATAGGGCCTGGGGCTACATGGAAGTCAGTGCTTAACCTGGAAGAGACCTGCTCAGCTCTCAGATCCCAGGGACGGCTGGAGCAGCAGTAAGAAAAACAGCTTTATTTGCAAGCAAGGAAAGCAGATCTGGAAGCACTGGGTGATGATAACCACATGCAACCCGGAAGGCTATTTTTCCATGGTCGTTTTTCAGAGCAGAGACACATTTTCACATCGTTTCTTTCCCTTGAGTGTAAACAACTCCCTTGCCCAAGACCTTCATCCCCTTCCCCTGCCACCACAGCTGTGTCTCCAGGCTGCCTGGTGTCTGCAGAGCAGCAAAGTTCAGCTGCAGCAGCTTTCCAAGAAAGCAGCACCAAAGCCATCCCTCCTCCCCCAGATTCCTTCTCTCCCAACAGCTCAAAGGAAATATCCCAAATATTTTGCACAGGGTTTTATGGCTGCACTGTTGCTTCTATTTTTAAATCAAGGGGGAAAAGACTTGGAGGTATTTATAAATAAAGGCTGTATGAAACCCAGCCTCTTTATCCATAGTGCTGTGCAGAGTGATAATTGCACTTCTTTTATATAAAGCCACGGAGACCGTGAATGCATGGGAACACCCCTCCCTGCCCACTGCTTCCATATGGCACAGACATAAAGCAGAACAAACCAACCCCAAATGACCCCAAACCAAACAAACCCCTGTAACTACAACTGCAGAGACAGCAGCAGCCAGCGGGGCAAACTCTGGTCGGCGGAGGGACCCAGTGCAAGCAGAGAGCATGCACTGGTGTCTCTAGACATAAGGCTTGTTGGGAATACTGAATCTGGAATTTACTGTATTCCTGGCCCAGCCTCTAGCCACGAGCAAACCTTTCTGGCTTTCCACCTTACAGCAAGTTGCAACACAGCACACATTTCGTTTACTGGAACCTTATGGAACCAAGTAGCTTTTTCATGTAACACCACCACATCATGAGCCGGATAACATTCTGTCCAGTACATAGATAATATAGTTTGGGTGGAAGAGGCACCCCTGTCTTTGGCATGCCTGATGTTGATGGCTATCTGGTGTCACCTTTGCCTGAATCCTTCCCAACCCTCTCTTCTGCAGGGTAACACAGACAGCAGTGCTTTTCCGCCAGCATCTCTTAAAGGGGTTTTGAAGCCACCCCAGTTAACCCAGATATATCAAGCCCACCAGCATCTTATCTAACAGCATGCATCTGAGATGTCCATGAGAGAGCAAGTGCTACAGTTTTCTCACACACAATGGAGACTAACCATTTGCTGAAGCCAGGATCATGGCTTGGAGCATCTCCGTGTCAAACTGGTTGTTCGGCCAGGCTCCACCTTCCTCTCCATTTTGGGAGCTATGAGAAAAGAAACAGCAAGTTACTATAGTTTGGCTTTAAATCCTTCTATTAAATAACACTCAAGAGTCAAGACAATTTCAGAGGTCTCCATCCTTCACCAGGCTTTTGAAGAATAACCACCAATACCAAAAGCACTTGGGGGCTCAGTGGTGCTCCCAGCAACACCTAACTTTTGTTGACTTCAGAGATACCCAGCACCTCATCACCTCAAAATCCCTCCAATAAAATGTAACACTACAAAAAAATGCTGGTCCTAAAGCCCCAGAGGTGCATGCACCCTTGTACAACCAGGTCTGGTGTTCCTTTTGCAGGTCACATATGTGGATGCACCTTTCAAGCTATTTCAGGCTACAACCCCATTCTGCTGCTTTATTTGGAAGACAGAGGGTATGAAGACCCCATGGCATAGTGAGCTTTAGGATCAGCATGGAGCCAGCTGCTCAGCACCACAAAACTTGCTCTGACTGGAGTCCAAAAGCAGCTGCCAGCTCTGCAGAGCCAACAGCAAACAGTCCTGGGGAGGCTGGAGCAACAGGGACAGGAGAGAAGGGAGGTGGGCACCTGACTGGAACTGGCTGATGGTGGGCTGAGCACTGCAGATCTGCCTGGGAAACCTCTGTGAATGCTATCAGACTTCCACTAAGGAGGTTTTGTGACCGAGGTTACAATCAGCAGTCTGTGAGCAGTCTAACAAACCCCGCATTCATGTTTGCCAGGTGCCAGCTGTGCTTGGCCACTGTTTACTGGTGGTGGCACTTCCCCTCCAGAGAGGTCAGGGCTGTGCTCCCAGAGCCCCTCCAGAGCCTCCCTGATTCCAGCAGAGAGACCTAAACATCTCACCAGCTTCCTGGCTCCTCCTCTGCTCTGACCCTGAGTGACCACATCACTCAGACCACCAGTCAGTCTCTCCTGCCCACTGGGATGCCAGAATCTGCGCCTTGGCTGTGTACTGGCTCGCCTGTGAGGAGGGCTGCCCCACTCTTGCAGCTGGGAGCTCTCCAGAAGTGAGATGGCGGGGTTTGAAAGCCCTTGGAGAGAGCTGAGCCTGTTTTCAAGGCAAGTGTTCAAACCATCAGGCTGCAAGGCATGGAGGTGGCCTCCTCCTCCACTGTTATAGTCCCAGCCCTTACTTCCAGGAGCTGCCAGACCCCAAAGCCTTGCTCAGACCCTGAAACCCTGCTCAGACATGCTCAAGCAGCCAAGATCTCCCCCAGCTCTGGGGTCTCCTGCAGACAACTCCATGCTTGAGCACTTGGCACCCCGCACGCTGCAAATGCCAGCACAGGCACTACCAGTGCCAACTCAACACCACATGCTGGGTGGCAGATGGGCTCTTCGCCACCATGCCGAGCATCCCACTGCCTCAGTCCCCCCACTGGTTGCACCCGCTGCAGCCCTCACATGCAGGACAGTCTCAATATGTTCATTTTGGAACTGAGACGGACCCATCCTTGAATGTTGTATCTGCCATAGCGACCTTGTAGCATGGGCAGCAAATGTGTCTAGGATGCTGCCTCATCTGCATCAAAGCTCTGCAAGGAGGGAAGCCCTAAATGCACAAGAGCTTTCTCTGTCCTCTCTGTGCAATATTCTGCATGCAGGAAAAAAACCTGCAGATGAATGGATAAGGGTGCCTGTGAGCTCTGCTCAGACCCCACATGGCTCTGCTTGGTCACACAGCTTGGTATGAACCCAGTGAGGGGTATATATGGGCAAACTTCCTTTGAAACACAAGATCTGAGTGTAAGGACAATTTCAGGTACTCTGCGGAAAGACTGGTCTTAAGTAACTTGTCCAAAGACAAGCAAGACCTGTGCCAGGACCACACGACCATCCATCCCTTCCCCTTCTGTACCGCCTGCGTGATCCACTGCCAGCCAGGCACAGGGCACTGCTCTCATACTGCCTTATCTGTGGAGGATGCAAACAGTCCCTAATGTGGCAGAAGCTGCCCTGGCACGATACTGCCGACAGCACCACTTCTGAAATACCTGCCTTCTGCTGCAACCTCAGGCATCCCGAAAACTATTTATATCCTTCCTCTACAACACATGTGGTGGCACAGTTTCAAGAAGGCCAGCAGTGAGACTTGCTCACCTCATCAATGGATTTCAGCGCTTGCATGATGGTTGTGCTGATCCATGGACGTGGGTGCTGTTGCCCTGCACTCAGTGCTGTGCACAGAGCCCAGGCAGCAAGGGCAAGGAGGGGACAGCCCTGGGGCTGCAGTGACCTGTTAATGTCACAAGCAGGGCTGGGAATAGACCCCTGGGCTAGATCTAATAAAGGACTTAAGAACCTAAACCTTATTGCAAACCACAACTCATTTACCCACCAGTTAACTCCAGCAGCTCCTGCCCCACCAGCTGCCCCACTGGCTGGCAGCTGAGTTTCCCAGGTTTTTCAGAGCTGCAGGAAAGCTGCCAAGAAACATCCTGGTGCCTCCCAGTCACCGCTCCTGGCTTTGGGGTCTGCCCCTGCATGCTAATGGGATCCGGGTGTGGGTAAAGGCAAAACATGGGGAAGTGCCAAATTCTTTTTTTTTTTTCTGTTTTTTTTTTTTTTTAATTGCAATATTCCAGCGCTTTGAACTCTGTTGGGAAATCAGAGGTTCCGATTCAACTTCCTCTTTGATGCAGCAGTGCTGGCATCACATTTTTCACCTCCCAAAAGATTCTTTCCTCCCTTCCCACCTCTCATTTGGGCAACTGGACAGAAGCTCCTGCCTCCTGTCAAAGCCATGCCTCCGTGCCCTAGGCCAGCAGAATGCAGGGAAGGAAAGGCTCACCCTGTGGTCAGGGCACTCACCTGGGAAGTAGCACCAGGAACCCCAACTTCACTGAGCTCCCTAACCAGGTGTTCCTCACTCTCCACCCCAACGACCCTTGGCCCCATGGATGCACGCAGGCACAGACAGGAAAGCTGGCCACCGCTGAGCACTGGACTTGCCCAGGCAGGGCTGGATTAGAAAGAAGGGGAAGAAAGGCTGTGGTTAGTCCCTGCAGCCTGGGAGGGGATTGAGTGACAGTCCCTCTGGTGCACAGTACAAGAGGAGCAGCTGTACCAAGAAACCTGTGGATATTGTTCAGATTGGTTTAAGCTCTTGTTTTAGAGTTGTGTGCCCCCAGGAAAGCATGACCACACAGCACCAGTGAGCAGAGGAAAGTTCATCCCTGAAGGAGGGTGAGAGAAGCAGCATTTCAGAGCCTTTTCCCCTCTTCTGGTCTTAGAGAAGGAGTGAATACATGTGAACTCACGTGGTGGGCTTCACCAGCCCCTGTGTTACGGCTATACTCCAGTGTCAGGGGGAGAGCCAAAGCCCTACCTCCCCTTAATGCCCTGTGGGATCACAAAACTACAGACTGATTCAGATGGACAGGGACATGAAGCACCCAGCCTAACTAAGGTGGAAAGGTCTCTGGTCCAACACCCCATGCAAAAGAGGGCCAAGCTTTCAGCTGGACCCAACTTGATAACAGATGTTCTGGGCCTGAGCAGCCACATTCTGAGTATGAGATTTCTCCATCTCTCTGGCTTTCTGCCCCAGTGTTTCCCTTGGTTCCCCCTTGGTGAAAAATGTTTCCTAACATCTCCTCCAAATCTTTGTTGCAATGTGTGCCCATTGCCCCTCATCCTTTCACTGTGCACCTCTGAAGACAGCAATGAGACCCTTCTTCCAGCTCTCACACCTCCTCCCCTGCCTTGGACTCCAGACCTCTGATCATTTGAGTGGCTCCCATATGGCCATGTCTTTGTTGCAGTGGGGAGCCCAAAATAGGGTGCAGTGCTCCAGATGTGACCCCATAAGTGCTGAACTGAGGGCAACCATCTCTTCTCCTGACCTGCTGGCTACCATCTCACCAGTAAAACCCAGTCAGTCTCCATCACAGCAAGGGTGCACTGGTGACTCATGTTAAACCCGATGGCTTTTTCTGCAAACTTCCTGCATCCAGTGCTCCCAAATTTTTCACAAACAGCCCCAAAGCTGTGTGCTTACTCCTCATGATGCCACGCAGAAAAGCTATTTTAGAAATGCCTTAGCATTGCAAAAAATGATATTGAGTTCACTTCTCTAAGCAGGAAGTTCAAGTGCCTCAATTACTTGCAGTGCAATCATCCAGAATTCAGAGACACAGAAAAAAAAAAACACAAAAAACAAGTGCTGTAATCTAAAAACACCCAAAAATAACTTCTCGTATTGGAAAAAGGCACACAGCTGATGACCAGATCTGGCCATCTTCCATGACTGTAGGATGGAATTGTGAATCAGAGCTGTGAATCACCAATTCAATAGCAAGCAGCCTGCCCTGCCCTGCCCTGCTCGCCCCTGAGGCAGGCAGACCTCAGAGCCCCCCCTTGCAGCACTGCTCCCCGCTCAGCCACAGCCTTGGGCGCTGCTGCGGGGAGGCTGCTGGGAACAGGGGGGGGGTGGTTCCTATGGAAATGACTCCAAGGGCTTGCTGGTTTTAATACAAATGCCGTCGACTCAATAGGTTTTTTTCTAAAAACCCATCCCCCATAGGATAGATTTTTTTTTTTCCTCTCTGTTCAATTCTACTCCACACTTCAAAGCTCAGCAAAGAGCTGGCTTTCATTTTTGGGAACGTTTCCAGCACAGCTAGGACCGGAGAGAGAAGTGAACCCACGTTTGAGACAAACCCAGGAATGCAGCATCTTAGGGGGCTCAGGGCATGGTGGACATGAAGCACAGGACTGGGGCTGTGCCAGCAGAGGCAGGTACAGCCAGTGTACAATCTGCAAATGCCTTCATTAAACCTGGCTACACGGAAATCAGGGAATGCTGAAATGAAAGGCTTGCCCTGCAGCCTTGACACAGCCACACCATGTCGCTAAGCTGCCCCATTACAGAGGGCTTCCACAAGCATCTGCCCAGGCAGCGTAGGGTGAACCAGGGAGCTTTACTGACCAGCTCTTTTGTGGCACCCCCAGCCACCACATCCCTTTTTAATTTCCTCTTCGAGCACAGAATTATTCAT